AGCAGGGAAATAAAGATTTCTTTTTAAATAGCAATAAGAAATGAATGATTTATCAGAGGCATTTAAAAATGTTAATGGTGTAAAGACAGCTTGACAAATAAGGGATGATTATTCTCATCTCCACAGGCCAAAGTACAGCTGTGGCATCCTTCCAAGCAGTGCTCAAGATGTTTGATTTCTATTTTAGTTGATATTTGACAGAAAAGATTTTATTTTTGCATTATCTAGGGGAAGTGGAAATGAGTATTTGTTCTGTCCTTTTTCCTACTTGCTCTCCTTGCTTATCCTCCTGCCTTTTTATTAGTACTGTTTGCAATGTTTTATTACACGTGGTCAGACACCTGAGAGCCTTTGGAAGTTACGTATCTTCTGCAGTCAGTATTTTCCAGTATTATTTTAAGGTGTGGTATACTGAACACTGACTGAACACTTGATGTTTAGTGTCTAGAATGTATAAATAAGAAGACAGATCCAGAGCACTGCAGCCTGGAAAAGATACAGGCTGAAACTGAAACACATATCAGCCTTGGGCTTCTGACATGAGGCTCTCTACAGCTCAACTTCCAAGTTCCAAAGTGATTCTCCAGTTCATGAAAAGTAAGGTAGGCACACCAGGAGTTAAGAAATCACAATAGTATGTTGGAAGAAAAGTCTTTGTGTTAGTGATTTTATTATAAATTGATCAAATTGTGTTTGACTGTGTTATGATTTTAATATAAGTATAGACCTAAGAGATATTGTAGTAGAAATCATTTTACATTTATTGTATTTTGAACTTAGCAACCAGCTGCTACTCTAAGTGTTCCCTGTACAACCCCGTACCAAGGCCGAAGGGATTTGCCATAATTATCTAGTAGAAACAGTTAAAACACAGGTAACCAAAACACAAGATGATTGTAAGTTGATTTATAATACGTACATAGGACTAGAAGAATGCAAGTAAAGGTCCAGGATTAATGGGAACTGAGGGAAGTAACCGTAACAGCTTGCAGGTACCTGCCAAGAAAACTGTGTCCTTAAGCAAAAGGTAATTCCGGCAGGGGGAGATCGCGACCACCGACTCATGGGCCACCTACTCACATTACACCCCAGACCCATTTCTAGACATTTCTAACCTCTACTGCGCAGAATCGGAAATAGGAGGAGAATATGTTAATGATTTCTTGGAAATTGTATGCTTATGTATGAAAACTTAATGAATATGTATAAGTAAGTTCTATGTAAAGTGTATGATTCTGGTGCCTGGCACGTGTTGTTGGTGAGGATACTCCCCTACACGTCCGGCCGTCAATAAAGGAGTGTCTGCTTATCTGCATCAAATTGGTGTTGATAAGTTATTTTATCCCGGATTTCGGTGACATTTGCACCAGAGGAATCCTAGGCCTGAATTTCACCTAACTAGGAGTAAGAGTAGCATCCCTCGTTCTCTCCCCTGGCCACATACTCGCTTGTGTCTAGTGACCTAGCAATGGCTAGCCCTAAAGTCAATTGCTTCAATGAGCTCATCTGACAGAAAACAAATCCACCAGAAAAATGCTGGTTTTCCATTGAACTCGTTTGCTCACCTGGTTCATTCTGCAGTCTCACAGTCACTGGATCATGTAAAGGGGAGCAAGACAGAACACATGGCTGGAGAGAGATGGGGAAGACTGCACTTTTCAGCATTAGCCCACAGTCATACTAAATTAATTGTAACATAAAACTGTACTCCGAAGGCCTGGTTCCGTACAATGAGGTTAAGTTTCACTCACTGACCCAGAAGGAAATGAACACTCCCTCTCAAATCAAATATTCTTCAGTATTGTTAATTGGGTTGAAGTGGCTCATGGAAGCACATGGAGAACACCAAGGAGGAGCTAAGAGAGGGCAAAAATCTGCAGTTGGGAGATGAGGAGTCAGCAACATAGAATCATAATAATAGAATCGTAACAGTTTGGGTTGGGAGGGAAGATCATAAAGTTCCACCTGCCCTGCCATGGCAGGGACACCTTCCACTAGACCAGGTTGCTCAAAGCCCTGTCCAACCTGGCCTTGAGCACTTCCAGGGAGGGGGCAGCCACAGCTTCTCTGGGCAACGCATTCCAGTGTCTCACCACCCTCACAGTGAAGAACTTCTTCCTAATATCTAACCTAAATCTTCCCTCTTTAAGTTTAAAATGTAATTACCCCTCATCCTACCACTACACTCCATGAGAGATTGTCCCTCCCCATCTTTCCTGTAGGCCCCCCTCTGCCTCTCAGTATTGGTAAACTATTAGATCAGCTCAGCTGCTCATGGATCTGTCTACAGGAATCAGTTTGCTCTGCAGATGATCACTTAAAGGCCCATTCTGGAAGAGACAAGACTCAACTGAACAGGATAATATAAGCTATTTTTGCTTGTGCTAACAGGTTCTTAATAATACATTCAGTATGCTATTGAAAGGACAATCTGAAAGAGCTCTGAAATGTCTCATAGTCTCACTGTGGATGGAAGGATACGTTCATGGCCACACAACTTGCAATGTTCTCAGACTACTGAAAAAAATTGGGAACAATGCTTAGTTATTCAGGAGGGGCGTGAGCTTTAAAGAAGCAGATCTGGCTCAAAACCAACACAACTATGAAAAAAGTTTACTCAGGGGAAAGAAGGCCAAAAGCACTGAAGAACTGAGGAAACAGAGGAAACAACATTGGGGAAACAGAAGCTCTGTTGTTTTGTATGGGCAAGTGTTTCAGAAGTCTATTCAGCAAATTATCCATTTGGTCTTAAAGCAATGGGCCCACGGGGCAAGTTGGGGCGTGAGCCCATTTCACCCAGCCTTTCCCTTTGTCCTGAAGGAGATGACCCCTCTGACACAGCCTGAATGACTTTCTGTGTCTTGGCAGAGGCAGGCATTCCGTGATGCCTCTGGCCTCACCCTGTACTCCCACATAGAGGCAGGAGCACAAGTCAGTCTCTGCCTATGAACCCACACTTCCCTGCCACCACTGCATCCCCAGGGCAAGGAGAGGGGATGGGCTGGGCAGCACAAAGCAGACAGATGTCCATGTTTCCTGGAAGAGGGGCAGCAGTCTGAGAAGTGGGGAGAGAAATGTGGCTGCTCCTGGAAAAGACTGGTTGTATTGGCTGGGTTGGGTAGGAGAAGTACTGCTGTCAAAAGGAAGGGAGGGAACAGGCTCCTGGGCACAAAGGGAGGGAAAGATCAGCCTACAGGAACCCCTAGAACCAATATTCACTCCTTGACTCTTAACGCCACAAGTTTTTAGCTCTAGGGAAACTAGTATTATGGCCCTGAAATATATCAGAAGTACTTCAGGTCTAAATAATTCAGGTGTCAAAATGAATATGAGGGAGAAAATGATTTAGCGGAAGGATTGCTTTGTTTTCAAAGTTGCTATTTCTTTCTGTTTATGCACCCATACAGACACTCTAACAAATCAGTGAACTGGATGCACAACCAGACTGCATCACTGACTACATCTTTCCTTGAACAAAATCAGGGAAATATAGGGAGAAAAAAAGAAAACAAGCGAAAGTTATTTGACAAAACAAGCAGAAGTATTTGATGAGATTTTATCTGCTATGTAGTTTAAAGAGAATTCCCAAACTATCTATAATCAGAACATTGAGGGTTGTTGCATATTGTAAATGAATTTTAAGTAACTCCTGTTGGCAGAGTTATCTTTTTCTCAGGGTTGCCAAATCTCATTGCTTTATCACAAATCTCATAATGCTGAATTGCTTATTTAAGCCACAATTAAGAATCACTCACTAATGTGTTTCTTGCCTTTTTGTTTTTTTAAGTGTAAATTTCTCCAGAACATACTTATTGCAGAAGGTAAAAAGGTAATCAGAGTAAGTACCAGAAGAGTAAGGTATGTTATTAATCTAGTGCATTCTCTATAATCAGGAGAGGAGAGAATCGCTGTTTGCTGGCAGGTTTGAAGTTGCTTGCTGACAGCAGGACACGGGGTCTGGGGACTCCCCTGCTCTTCTGTGGAAGCGTTCGCCTACATATAAACCCTGGCCCTGAATTAGCTTTCACTCTGTGCTCCCTCATCTGCCCTACACTCTGGCTTCTCTCTGTCTCTTCACATTACTGGAACTTCTGTGAATATAAAAAATGCCACTGGCTTCACTGTGACCCCACCCAGAGCTAGAGGCCTGTTTACAGCACCAACACTTATACAGCAACATAAAAAAACCCCACCCTATTTTTTTTAATTATAGCTCAACTACTGGCAGGATCAGGGGCAGGATTTGCATGTTACCTGCCCCGATCATCGTGTGCAGACCTCTGTAAGGGATACACAGCTGCCTTTAGCCTCCACGGATAGATAGGTCTGCACATGCACGCCAGGCAGGTCACTGCTAGCTCCTGTCACTTATGGGACAATCAGCCCAGGTAAAAGCTCTTGGCTCTGATTTAAAGCCCGGGTTTTACATTTGCAGTAACAGACACTCAACTTTCCTTAGCCATTAGTAAAGCCCTATTTCATCCTCCACTTGATATAAAGCACCCAAGGGATTTTTAGACACCAGGACTCTCAAAAATTGAGTTAAAAAGATGTAGTTCAGTCACAAGCCCTTTCTCTGCAGTTTGTTTTCTATGTCTTTAGTGTACATCTGAATTCCATTTAGAGGCAGGTGTGCTCTCCTCTCCCTCTCCTCTCCCTCCCCTCTCCCTCTCCCTCTCCCTCTCCCTCTCCCTCACACCCTGCTGAGCAGCGGGCACTGGACCAAGCAGTGAGTGGGTGCTATTCCAAGAGCAGTGCCTTCAGATAGACAATTACTCATGCATAGCGTTGGACTGCCATCCAGTCTTAGAAGCCAAACAAGTTTGTTGAATTGACAGAAAATGCTTTTCTGCGTCATGGTCTTGCTGCTTAGCGAGTACCCTCTTAGGTTCTTTTCAGAATGGTGTTAAAGTAAATGGGTACCTGGAAGCGTGATCAAGATCTTTGTTTGAGAAGCACTTCTAGCACCAGATTATTACTTGGGTTTTGGTATTTTTTGTGTGCTTGATATATACAACTAATACATCATTGTGGAAATACCTGTTGTAAAAGTAGTTTCACAACAAACTCTTCAGATGTTTGAAATCTTAGACTTAATTGCTCTAAACCCAAGTGTGAAACTTGCTCTATTAGGAAAAAATGGAGGAAAAGTAGAAAAGTAGGGAAGACAACTTTCATGCCCCCTTGCAACAAACAAAAGCCAGTGGAAGTAGGATGTGAATGCCTTTCATGGTGCTGTTTCTTCTCTCAGCTTCTGTTTCTGTCCTAAGTAGTTTGACAGGAATTTAGTACGTTTCAGGAGTGCTTCATGAGCTCAAAGAACAAAGAAGAAAATGTGCTCCATTCATGAGACTACTCACAGAATTCTTCTTAGCCAAGAAGTCCCTGCCAACACAGTACTATAAAATACTCCGGTCCATGAATACTTTTGTAATGATATCAGTGCGCCAACAATTTTGGGATGACTTGATGTGATTTACAAATAATGCCCTAGAAAATGGTGCAAACACAGTTTTCCTTTCAGGGAATTGATTGAAATTTTGGCAATTTCGAGAAACCAGAAGCTCCCACAACCAGGAGAGGAGAGCCAGGTAAGCTGACCTTCTAAACTGTATTTCTTTGGGTAAGCACAATTCTTCTATTGTTTTCTTCTTTACTTTCTTTTTTCTCCCTTTGTCCTTGTTTATACTCAGTCTAATGGTGGTGATGAGGTTTTGGCCCCACT